AATGTCCACCGCAGTTGTGGACAAAACGTCAGGAAGAAATTCCGATAGACCACGGCTTCAAAGCCCGGAAAATATTCCTAAATGTAATTACATCGAAGTTTTTCTCCCATTTCTAAGTTGACCGGAGATTGGAAGCTCTTCAACATTAGAACACCGGAACGAAAATAAATCACAATCAACCTTGTAAATTTGATTAAACACAATTGAACAGATTTGCAAGGAATACAGGAATTCGTCTCAATGCAAAGTAAACAAGAGGCAGCTGATGTCAAAATCCAGGCGAAATCTAAACTGCTGGTTCATTTGCTTTGAAGTCGTCAAAAGTCATTAAACACAGCTTCTTAGTATTATGTATAAATGAGAATATCTGACGCTCTATATAATTTTTTTCTGAACTATTTAACTGCATCGACTTAAATATCGCTTCATCGCAAATGTAACTGATCGCGGCATTGTAACAGAAAATGAAAAAAGTCCTGTCATATGTAATCAAGACCATCATCAAGATGGAAGAGAAGAGGCGGATATCAGTTCCTCAGGATCATAACTGATGAAAAAATTATGAAATGAAAAAGTGTCAGAAAAAGAGGTACTACTCGTTATGAACCTGATAAATCGGTACAATTTGACAATTTTTACAATTTTCTACGATTGACAAATTTCCTAACGCATACAGCACGTGAAGATAAACATATGGCACACTTGAGTTACACTTGCTTGCACACTTCTTGGACCAAATAATACTGGGAAAAATTTATAACAAAAGGTAGGTAGGTAACTATGCTGAGAAAAAGCTTATCGTTATTATTCGATTGAGCAAATAATGCATTGCTGGCTGTTTCGAAGCCGTTTTAAACTAAATTTGTACTAAAAAATATTTTTTAAATTGGTAATTAGGTAGTATCATACCAGTTATTTATACATAAACAAGGTATGTGAACCACAATTAAATGTTTGTACTAGTGATTATTTAATTTCGGTTAGTCACATTATCACATCCGGGTTTTTTCACTTTGCTTAGAATACCAAAAGTCTACCATTTAGTAATTTTTTTTTACGATAGCACTGAGACTTGATTTGGCTGTTGTTTTTCCAAACTCTGCGACAATAGGGCACCAGCAGACGTCCACAGCCAATCTATACTCGAGGAACGAATTAACTTTGCTTCCATTATTTCTTTTGACCTTATGGGTCGTTTTTGCTGCAGGTAACAGCATAATTCATTCATTTCGAAACGCGGCAAATTAGTTTTCATAAGTCCGACAAAAATAAAATTTTTAAATCAACGAGTTGGCCTTTTTAGCTTAGCGCCTTATGATTAATGGAACTTCACAGTGCCTTTTCATTCATTTTGCGTTTTAACGAAATGAAGAAAAATGTATTACTAGCGACATATTGCAGAGCAATTAAAACAACACACATCATATTCAAATACAAATCTGGATACGCAAACAACATTTTTTTTTGCGCAGCAACTGATTCAGAATTTAAATTATGTTATATTGAATGTCATTATACACTGCATACATTTAAAAATATCCCGATATATGAATGGTCGGATTAAGTACTTTTTGGTAGTTTGATAKTTTGATAGTATCAACTAAATCTT